GAAACTCGCCCCGGCCGAATTGGGTCACAGTGCCCTGCACTTGACGGACCAGGGAGAGCGTTTTGTGAGAGCTGGGCTGCCCCGTGTCGCCGCCCGTCGGCCCGGCTGTGCGCCTGCGGGCGTTTGGATTCGATTCCCCGCGCCTTGCGCCGGCCCGAGTGGCCGCAGCAACCGCAGCGCTGCTCGTCGGCGCCTAAAGCTCGCTCTGCAAGAGAGAGACTTTACTGGGTCCTGATCCAAACCAGGTCACCAGCGTGCTGCTATTCGCCGCGTCGACGTCTCGACAGCTTCGCGCGGTCTCAGAAGGTCCACGGAGGAAGGGCAAGGGCGCCAAGGACTACTACACGTGGCTCGAGGCGAAGTACTCCAAGGCCTTCTACGTCGGCGAGTCCCGCGCCTCCGGCGGGCGCCAGGACCTCGAGTTCGAGGCGTCGGTCGCCGTCTACGTGAACCGCCCCCACTACGCCAAGTTCCTGGATGTCATCCTCCCGGACCCGCAGCACAGGACCATCCTCGAAACGTCCGCGCGTCCCCGACGCGCGTTCCGCGGAAAAAAACGAGCTCTTCTAGTACCATAACTTCGCTCGATCCGGACGGATCAGGACGAACCGAAAGTCGCTTTCGAGTTCCTACGCGGGCTCCTCGGGATGGGCGCAGCCTCGGAGCTCGGCTCGACGACGGCAAAATCCCGGGTTTTCAGTGTCGCCCCCTACCTCCAGAGGGCCTGAGTCGGGAGCGGTTGTGGCCGGGCACTCGAATATCCACCCCAGGCACCCCAGGAGCCGCAACAGAACCAGCCAGCGCCGTGGCTGGGCTGCTCACCAGGCAAGGACCCCCCCAGCCCCGTCGGCGTTTACCACAGGTAGATGGGCCTCACCCCAAGTTCAGGTTGGGGGTCAGGGCCGGAATGCAGGCGTCACGCTGTTTGGGCCGAATCCCACCGTCTTGGGCCGGGACTCCCATGAGTCGCGTTATCAGCTTGGCCCTGGGCTATCAGGTCGCATTGCACTCTCTTCAACCTGCGATGCCTGTGTCTTGTGAGCCTGAGATGCGGAGTGACTTGACAGTCACAGAGCCGCTTCCTGAGGTGTCCCCGGAAGCAGGTC